GATATTTCCTTCAGCTTTCTACTTCTGAGGCACGTACACTGTATATATGGTAAAAAATATTTGCTTTTTTTTGTTTTTTGGTGGAATCGGGGATTGAACTCAGGTCCGTGCTCTTGCCAGGGAAGCGCTTATTCCACTGAGCCATCTCCCCGGTCACATTACAGATTTTCAAAACAAGAATAGCTGATTAACAGTGATTGATATATTTTCTATTTTTATTATCAAATCTGTTGCTCAGATTAACAGATATAGTTATGCAAGATGGGACATATGATTGAATATTACCACATGCTTTCACGAAATCTTAAATTTTTGTTCTTGATTCTCATTTTCTTTTACTACCCCATGCAATACTCGAAGGTTTTTGAATAGTTGGGTTTTTTTGGGGGGGTTTTGGTGGTTTAGGCCCCAGGGATCAAACTTAGGACCTTGCATTTACCAGGCAAGCACTTAAGCTGCTGGGCTATCTCCCCAGCCCTGGTTTAGTTTGTTACGCGACAGTGTCTCACTGTGTACTTCAAGCTGGCCTTCAGTTGGCTAGGTGGCCCAGGCTGGCCTTGAGTTCATGGCAATTCTTGCCTCAGCCTTCCGAGAGCTAGGATTGTAGGCATGTATCACCATGCCTAGCTTTTTTGAATAACTGAATGATTGATATATTCAGTTTCACCCAATAATTAGAATGGTCGTTATTCCTCAACCTGCTCCTTTTAGCTACAAAACACTAAACATCAGACTTAATCGATCTGGCTATCTCTATTCACTTATCTCAATCTCTTCATTAAAATATAATTTATATGCTATGTACCTTCTTGGAAAAAGTGGGCAATAAAAATGTAAACAGTATGTTTAATATATTTCACAGCGATCTGTTGGGCAGGGGGGAAGAAGGAGAAAGGGGCCCTGCCCAGGTGCAGGGACACTCTCTGCTGCCTTCACCCACTCCATCCTCAGCCTGAACCCAGGTGTATTTGACGATGGGGTCTAGGGTGTTTTCTGACCTCTTACTCATGCTTTTCTTTTTTTTTTTTTTTTT